TTTATTATTCAGTACAATTCAGCAAATAATTAATTTTTTTTTAACTTTACTGTTGATCACTAATTCAATTCTTTTTTGTACACCCTATCTATAAGGGTACTCCAAATGCATATAAACTCATTTTAAGGTATTTCTTTGAGACGAACAATAATGAGATAATATTTGACCTTTCCCGAAAGCAACAAAAAAAAGAGGCTAAAAATGGCCATGCAGATATTAATAGACATGAACACTGCTACAATCTCCAAAAATAGAGGTGGAATCATTCTTCTAATAATATTTTATTAATATTTTTTATAAATTTATTATAAAATAATTATTTAATTTAATATTAATAATATTTTATTAATATTTTTAATAATTTTATTATAAAATAATTATTTAATTTAATATTTTATAATTTAAATTAATATTTTAATTTTCGGAATGCTTTTCGAAGGTTACTCTCTCGGAAGATGTATAATTTTTGTAATAGACATGGACTATCTTTTATCCTCTCAAATCAAAATTCCCTGCTATTGCAACTGTTGTCCAAGTCAAAGTATAAATTGTTTACTTATTTATTCAACTGTTGTACAAGTCATAATAGGTATAAATATTTTAGTAGACTATATATAACTCACGAAACGAAAATTCTTATTAAATACTTAGTTCAGTTATGGTTTATTACTTACATATACATAATTCATATTAAGTTAAAAAAAAATTAATTTGTTAAACATTTATATTTTATAATTCATAACGACAAATAGGTGAAAATTATATTTTTGTATTTATCATATTATAGGAACACATTTTTTATTTACTTTACTAATGACTAATTTTTGAGCAGAATATTGGCTTTCTATAAATTTTTTAATTATATATTTATCCATAAAAAACATGAATACAATCATACTTATAAAAATGTTTTTGTAATATTGAAAACCTTTTATTTATAATTTTGTATAAAGTGATTAAATTTGCGAAAAAGTTTTATATAATAATGTGCCGTATGTATTGAACTACACATCGAAATACTGTTAATATAATGAGAGTTTCTGCTTTTTGGGTGGCACCGACCAATTAGGTGATAGTGCCTGTTCTGTTATTATTAGTTAATGGGTAGAAGGACATGTGTCAGCAAGATATTGGTTAAACCAAATAACGAAAGCTACGAGTACCACGTTGCCTCCATCTTGCTGTCGTTTTAGCAACTTTCATACCGTATCAATGTTATATACCCTTTCGCCCTTTCCTCTTATTACCAGACTCTGGAATATATATTTTTCAACTTTTCTTTTTATATCATCTATTCATTTTTAATAATGTAATAATATTTTATATTATCATATATATATATATATATATATAAAGATATATAGATAATTTTATCACTTCAAGAGTTCTTATATTATGAGGTTTTGTCCCATAAGTCTTGGTCCTTAATATTTTTCAAATCCTTTACTCTATTTTTTTCTTAAAGATTCATTTTATGTTTATTTATTTTATTGAGTGAAGGGAATATGTTTGACAATATATGTCAAATAGGAAAAAAGGAGGATATTTATATAAAAAAAATTTAATGTTTAAGTTAATTTTTAGTTTTAAACAAGTTAACACAATTAATGTTGTAATAATGTATATAAAAATATATTTTTTTTTCTTTCATGCACCACTATTTATACTAATTTTATTGGTTTGAGCCTTAACAATAGGTTCAACAACTTCCAAATTATCTCTAACTTATATTCTTATTATAATGTTCTTCGACGGAGATTCAAGGAGTTTTTGCCTTTATCTTTTGATTAAAACTCATTTTGATATACTATCAATTAGTTATATTTTAGATTTAAATATGTTTTTACTTCTTTAAATTTAAGTTAATTTTAGTACGTCAAATTTAAAATTAATTCTTTTGATTTTATAATTTTCAAAAATTATTTTAATTTTTAAACTCAAATTTTGTCAAGAAATATGTTAAATATTGTCACAAAAAATCTACCTACTAGTGTTTCTATTAATAAAAATATTACATTAAAATCAATTAATGTTACATAATCGTCTCAATCTGTTATTTTTAAATATATTATTAAAAATTAAAAATATTAGAACACGATTTTTTAAAATTATAAGAACTAAAAAAATAATCTAAAATTTGAAGGATCAAAAACAAATTTAGTTAAAATTGAAGAGATTAAAAATATATTTGAATTTATAATTTATTATAAATTCAATTATTTTATTATACAAAATAATTTAAAATTAATTGATAATATTAAAAATGATATTTATACTATAAGCTTATCGACTTTATGCTAATTAATCAAATTCATAATATTACATTCTCATCATTTAACAAAGATAAGGTACTATGTATTATTATAGAAAATAGATTAATACCTTGCCCGAATATATCTGAACTATATTTTGTTTTGGACTGTAAATATTTTTATAATGTGAAGAATAAAAAAAAAAGGATGTTATGGATATATATTTGTGTAAGATATCTCCTTTGATAGACAGAGACCTTGGTGGAGCCCACAAAGGAGGTTTTAGGTGGGATATAAAGGACACACGCAGTGAAAATTTGAAACGCATTCAATTGTTAGGTTAATCTGCAATTCTGCACCCTCTTCGATGTTTATACCTTTCTGGAGGAAAATGAAGGAATTGAATAAGAAAGAGAAACACATTAAATTTGCTCATGTACATAACACATGTGTACGCTGTTTGGTGTTTAGTGCTTTCGGTTTGTTCATATTTTGGACATTACATAACTCTTTAGTTCTATTTCCGTGTATGCATTGCCTTCTTCTACATGTTGTAATTTTAATTAAACTTTTCACTTTTGGCCCATTCTCACAGACCAAGAAATCTTAATTACTTTAGTTTCATTTGATGTACTAGTGAATTACTTCACACAAAGCACAATAGTATATTTTATTACACTCTTTATTTATTTGCACATTCTTCCATTTTATTCATTGCATAACCAAGTACCCACACTTCTAGTATTGAATTGAAATTACTTCAGTTCAAAATTTTGACCAGGTAACACGTCTCGATTAATTCTGCGAGTCTGCTTTTTGATAAGTTTTTCATAAATATTTGTAAGAGAGAAAAATAAAAAATAAAAAATAAAATAAGTTTTTTCATAAATAAAATTAGTTTATATGAGTTAAAAATAAAATTTTAAAAAATTAATATTTTTTAAATAAATTAATTTTAATTTATGTAGGAGTTTATTTTATTTTATTTTCTTAATTTTTCATTTTTTAAAAAAATTTATCCAAACAAATTGTATGTTGAATTTCATATATATGATTTGGGAGGGGGGAAGACTCTCCTTTGATTCTTTGAAAAATATACCACGAATATATAATTATTATGAAATATTTAACTTATTAGTTAATTGATTTTTATTAAAATATTATTAAATAATTAAAATTAAACTTGTGTTATTAATTACACTCTAGATTGTACAAAAACATATTTAAGTATTTTTTTTTTTGTAGTGATTGTACAAAATTTATAAAAACACTGTAGATTCAATAAAAGAAAAAAGAAAAGTATAAATATGAATAAAAAGAGACAGAGAAAAAATATAGTCTTATAAAAAAAGTATTATACGAAGAAGAATGCTAATACTATATTTACTAATACAATCTATATAATTATTAAAAATCACTAGATGGAATCCTTAAATAAGAATTTAAAGTCACAAATTTTATGTTCCTTAATAAATTTTAACTAAAAATAAAATATGTTATTGATTAAGAAATTAAATGTAACTTTTTTTATTAAAAAGTGTAATTGCATACTCTTCCATATAATTTTAATAAAAGAAACGTTACGTATTAATTTTTTAACTAGTTTTCTAAGAACACTATTTAACAATAATACTCTTCTAAAAACATGTTTAAAAAGTATGACATTTTTTTGATACGAAAAATATAACCAAAAAACATTAGTGAAAATGTGACGAAAGCATGTTGGTGGGCACAGTGAGCTAAGATCAATGATTAGAGGATGTTAACAGCAGTGATTGGAAGATGATAGTGACAAGACATCTTGCGGTTTTGTTTAGAAATAAATGCGGCCCAAAATCCATTTTGCAAAACCCAAATGTTTACCTTTCTCTTTTTCCCATTTCCAACCCAAGTTGCTAATGTTTTTTCTTTGGTAAACCATGTTACACGTTATTAGTAGATCATAACATACCTAATAACTTTATTTCTGCAACTAATTTTAGTTCTACAATTATACAGCGTGGGTCCATTTTCTCTTAACAAGCATGGGAGAAACAGTAAATTCATTTAATTATGCAAGGTGGGTCCAAATCTCTTTAGAGATTATTTTTAAACTACTTTTCATCCACCTTGATAGCCTAACCTACCATTCTCCTCACTAGCCCCTTCCTTTCTGTTCCTCTGAAATCTAGTTGGCGATTTGCTTCGTGTTACACAGCTCCTCTGTTTCTTTCTCCTTGTTTCTGTCATCTTATTATATCTATCTCTTTAATATTCACACTATTCATAGATGGAAAAAAGTATGAACCATTTGCACAAGTCATTGAGTTGAGTGATAACACATATACAATAAGAAAATGACCAAATAAACTTCTCTAGGAAAATCAAGTAGGAATTAAAAAAATATTTTTTTTATAAATTAAATTAATTTTTAAAAATTCTCTTCTATTAATTTCTTTAAAATCTGTCTTCTATTAACTTCTTTAGAATCTTACTTTTAATTTATAATAAATTCATGAAAAAATTTATTTCAATTTTTCACCTATTTTTTTTTAATGCATGGACAGATCTACAATATTGGGTTTAAAATATAGTTTAAACATATATAGTTATATTATTAATATTATCCCATGATTTATAATATAGTTTAAAGAATAAGTTATAATATTAATATTATCTCCACTATTCAAAATTTATGAAGATATATGTACAACCTGTTTCATATAACAATTTATACAGGACTACAGTACTTTCTTTTTTTTATTTATCTCTCTATTTCACAATTTATTTATTACATTTCAACCTTTTTCTCTTTTGCTTGTAACATTTGCAGTACAATTTATTCTATATGTGCATCATTTCCCTATGTTGTTTAATGAGATCCACTAACTTTCGTTTGGATTGCTGTCCCTTCCCACAAACTATGTTTCCATTTAGCTATTTGGAGACATGACCTTCGTTCTTTTGGTGCAGGCTCTTAGCAGATTTGGCAAGATTTCAACAAAGTAACAAGAGAGTCACACAAGGTTCATAATTCAGACCAATCAAAGAAGGTACACAAAACACACACACACACACACAAAACCCATATGATCTACTCTGTTTACATCATAAAAACATTATTTTTTTCCACTCAATTCTTATTCATATAAACATATTATAGATTTGGAAAGCTCAAAGCCTGCTAGTGATGTTAATGTTTCGCACTTTAGGCGATTTGGACGTTGCATCTTTGGGCACAACAATAGTGAGGACTCCATTTTCCACTTGTGCCTTAATCTGATCCACCTTCACATTCTCTGGCAATTCAATCTCCCTTGAGAAACCCCCCTTCTCAGTCCCTCTCTCAGCCACATGCCAAACAGTGTCCTTTTCTTTTGCATGAGTCTCTTCTCTCACACCTTCCCCTTTGATATGAAGAATATTCCCTTCCTCAATTTGCACCTTTATGTCATCCTTGCTCAACCCTACCCATCATCCAAAACTCAATTATAACCAACCAAACACTCCACTAATCAAGTCAAACCCACAAAAAGGTTCCATTTTTAACACCACACGCAGGATCACCACTCAGCATTCGAATGGGTCATTAAAAGTGTAACAAAATAAAAAGAAGAAAAAAAATGAACTTGGTACCTGGAACGTTAATTTTGAAGATGTGTGCAGTGGGGGATTCGAGCCAATCCAAGAGAGCAATTGAACCAGACCATTCTCTGAAAATTGGAGGGTGACTCCAAAAGAAACGTCTAAAAGGGTACCCAAAGATGGTGTCAGCCATGGATTACACTAATCAAAGGAAAAAAGTGAACTCTAGACTCTAGTAGCAGATGCCAGAAGGGGATAACAATTAACACATCCAATGAAAGTGATGAACAATGAAATTATTATATAGATATATATAATTTTTTTGTTTTTATGATAGGAGTTGTCGCGGACGCTCCAGAATGTTCTTTGCCTTTGATCTTGTGTTGGTCTTCAACTATCTGTTGTTTTGGATTCTTCCCGAATAGCGAAATGGGAGGTGATAAATCGCAACTGAATTTTCCAACTTGGGCCCAATTCATTTAAGCTTGGTGATGAGTAATTGAGTCCTTAATTCTTGTTGGGCTTATTTTTTGGATTGAGCTTGGAGTGTCACACTTAAATTAGAAATGGAACAAAATTTTGGGCTTGTAATTTATATACAAAAAAGTAAATTTGTTCCTAAAATACTTTTATTATTATTTTAATGACATTTATCATTTATTTTAAAGAATAAATTAATTAACTAGAAAGGCATTAGATATATAAATTAGGTTTTTATAATTGTACGATATGCCTAAAATAAGATAGATTTAAATATAATTTTTGTATTTAAGATTTAACACTTTTCATTTTTTGTACATGTAAATTAAGGGGGGTGTATTGAATTAGGATTTTAAAGGATTTTTTTAGTTGAAAAAAGTCTTGTGAATTTTAAAAGACTTTGCAAGATTTTCATGACTTTTAAGATTTTGTAGGATTCCACAAGACTTTCAATCAGGATTTTACTAGATTATGCAAGACTTTTAAGTTAGGATTTTAATGGATTCTGCGAGACTTTGTGAACTTTGCAGAATTTCGTAAATTTTTGAAATAGGATAAGAATTCAAGATTTTTTTTTCATACATTCAAATTTAAAAGAGTCAAATATAAAAATAAAAAAAACAATAATGTCTGGATAAATAAAAATAATTTTTTTTTGTAATATCATGTCGTTCTAAATAGAATTCACCCACATATTCATAGCTATACAAGTTGTGAGACCCCTTCCGTTTTTTTTTCTTTCTTCCCAACTCCCTCCCCACTCACTCAAACTCTCTTCTTCCCTCTAAAATCTTCATTTGGCTGATCATTCTCTCTTTGCTTGGATTCAAGGTGCTGATACCTAGAGTTGGGCTGAGCTGAGCCGTGCGGAGTCCCCCTCAAGCTTCTTCTTCTTCTTCTTCTTCATCATTCTCTTCTTCCCGAAGCTCGGAGTCGTTGAACCGAGGTAAGGGAAGCTAGTTTTGGCTGTGATTTGTTGAAATTGAGTTCACGAACTCATCTTATGGCTGATTGCTTGAAAATTTGTGGTTGTGTGTGAAGAGATTCATTTTTGGGGTTCTTTGGGGTTTTGAGAAAATTTTGGGTTTTCTTTGATTTGGTGGTTGCATGTGTAAAAAGGTGGTGTTTTTGAGCTGTGGGTTGAAAATGTGTTACTTTGAATGGATTGCATGTGCTGGAAAGTGGATTTTTTGCAGGTTTTTGGGCAAATTTTTGAACTTGGTGAAGTTGCTGCTGAGCTTCGCGCTGAGCGCAGTTCTTCGCGCCGGGTGCGCTACCACCTGAGGACTCCATTTGGGCAAGCCCGCCGGGCGCAATGATGAGTGCGTCGGACGTGCTTGAGAATGTGGGTCTCTGGTTGGTTTGCGCTGGGTGTGACCAGGATCGCGCTGGGCGCGAGACCAGTGGTAACCTAGTTGAGGGCTTTTGATTCTGCGCTGAGCGCAACCGTTATCGCGCTGGGCGTGAGACTCCTTGGGAGTCTCTGCCTTGTGGGCGTTGGGCGCAATTTGAATTGCGCTGGGCGCGAGACCTTGGGAGGTCTCTACCTTCCCCGCGCTGGGCGCAGGTTTGGGCACGCCGGGCGCGAAGGCTCCTTGAAGTGTCTGCCTGGCAGGCGCTATGCGCAATTGGTATTGCGCTAGGTGCGCGTGAGCCTTGGGCTCTCTGGTTGGGTCATGCCGGGCGCGGGCATACCTGCGCTGGGCGCGCTGGCCCCTGGTGCTCTCTGGTTGTGCTGCGCTGGGCGCGACCAGGAGGGCACCGGGTGCGGATGTGGTGATTCACTAAATGCTGATTAAAGTTGTTTTAAGCTGAATTGAGCTAAAAATTGATGAATATGTCGTGCTGTTAGATGTTATTGCTGATTAAGGATGTTTAGGCTGTGCTGTTAGCTGTGTTTAGATGAAAATGCTGAAATATGATGTTAAGCTGAAATAGATGTATATTGTTGTGCCGAGCTGTGCTGTGAGCCGTATTGCTGTATGATGAATTACTGTGCTGTGCTAAACTATATGTTGTTATAGCCGCTATGTCGGTGCTGTTATAGCCACTATTGTGGTGCTGTTATAGCCGCTATGTCGGTGCTGTTATAGCCACTATTGTGGTGCTGTTATAGCCGCTATGTCGGTGCTGTTATAGCCACTATTGTGGTGCTGTTATAGCCGCTATGTCGGTGCTGTTATAGCCACTATTGTGGTGCTGTTATAGCCGCTATGTCGGTGCTGTTATAGCCACTATTGTGGTGCTGTTATAGCCGCTATGTCGGTGCTGTTATAGCCACTATTGTGGTGCTGTTATAGCCGCTATGTCGGTGCTGTTATAGCCACTATTGTGGTGCTGTTATAGCCGCTATGTCGGTGCTGTTATAGCCACTATTGTGGTGCTGTTATAGCCGCTAAGTCGGTGCTGTTATTGTTGAATGTTGTTATATCTTAAGTTGGTTGATGTGCTGATAGTTGTAGTTGTTCAATTCTCATATTTCACATATGTATGCTGATTCTTTTCACTAGCTTACCCTTTGTTGTTTCCATGTGGTTTGGACTGCTATGATCATTCTATGTATGGGAGCAGGGCAGGGTTAGGTTGGTGTTAGCTGACGAAGGTCTGCAGTTGGCAGGTGAAGTTTATTTCTTTTGATGTATTTGGCTACTTTGTTAGCACTGTGCTGGATGTATTTTGTTTTTGTACACTCTAACTCTAGTCGGATTGGGACCATGTATATACATATATTCTAGATCCTATATTATATACTCTTTCTTTTCTGTCTGGTGTTTCCGGTGTGCTGTGTTGTGCGTAGTGACCAGCCGGGTTGTTACACTAGTTCTCCAAACATTAGTTTCTTTTCGATTTTGCTCTTGTGTTTTAATAATAGGCTCAAAATTATGATTTTTATTAACTAGTAATGTTGAAGATAAAGGTTCACCCATCACTTCAATTGGAAATTCATCATAATGACATTCTTTACGAAGAAAGTTATGTAGTCTCACATATGCTAAAAAATATTCTAAACAACATTTCAAATTTTTTATAATTTGTGATTTAAAATATTTTATTTAGAATTTTATAAATGATTAGAAAAAATAGTGGGACAAAATAATTTTTTTATGAAATTTGTTACAGATACAAAATAATTTTTTAATTTTTAATTATTTTTAATTATTCACTCGTGTCTTATGTTAATTTTATTTTTTAAAATATAAAAATCCTAATTTCATAATATAAAAATTAAAAAATAAAATTTATAGTAAAAAAAAGAAATAAAATAATTGTTGAGTCATAAAAGGGGAAGGATAACAATAATAAATTCAAGAGAGAGAGAGATCACACTTTTTGTGCTGAGAGGGTTCTTCCCCCAACTAAGATCCATTCTTATCTCATTCTACTTATAAAAACCCTAACTCAAATTCATCTTTTACACACACACACCTTTTCCTTTTCTTGACGCGTGTTATAAAAAAAGTTAAAATTTCAATTATTTTCTATGTTATATAACTGAGGAACAATCTCAATTAAATAGACTAAAATAGAACAAGTCAATTAAAGAGAACGAAGAGAAAAATATAGTAAGTTAATGACACTATCATTTACGTATAGAAGTTTCATCAAATAGGAAATGAGAACAGTAGTACAAATTCATTAGGAAATGACACTATCATTTATTTTAAAGAATAAATTAATTACTGCATGCTAACTAGAAAGGCATTAGATATATAAATTAGGTTTTTATAATTGTACAATATGCCTAAAATAAGATAGATTTAAATATAATTTTTGTATTTAAGATTTAACACTTTTCATTTTTTGTACATGTAAATTAAGTTTTTGGAAATCATCCTTGTAAAATTTAAATATTTCATTTTTTGTTTTTGTTGTCAAAGTTCATTATAATAGTGCTAACTCGATCAATTAAAAGTATAATAATCAAGCTTTTGAATTTCATTAAAATCAATATTAATTAGCCTTTAAAACAAGTAATTAATAAAATAATTATTTTAAATTTAAATTTAAATTTAAAATAATTTTGTGAATAAACTAATCTTTTAAAATATTTTAAAATATATAATAAGTTAAACGTGTCGGCCAACCTATCCATCTATTTTTTTTTTTAAAAAAAGAACTTCAATTTAAAATAAATTTTAATCTAAAAAAAACTTCTAATCAAAATAAAAATTATCAAACTAAACTAAGCATCATACATACAATATTAAATTGAAACAATTGTAAGTGAGTATAAGTGGATTGGATACGCAACTCACTAGGTGGAATGGGAAGAAATTTGATCGTGTTAAATTTCTTAATTAATTATGTTGATTTTTTTCTTGCCTAATCTTGACCATTTTTAAGGTGAGTTAAGTTTGCCTAATGGACATCAACCAATGATGGGTTGGGTAGAATTTTTTTACTAATTATGAACTTCTCGAGTTTTTTGGCCCCTCTTAGCTTGTTTTTAAGATAGGCTGATGTTAATATACATGAAATACAAAATATTTAATGAATGCAAAATATTGTTATCCTTAAATTAAAATATTTTATTTAATATCCCATTATTATTTTCAATAATTATTTACAGTAGTTATTAAATAAAGTTTTTAAATTCTTAAAAATCAATTATTTTGGATAAGAAAAAGCTAAAACAACAATAGTTATGTGAAGCATATAGCAGTTAGTTGTATGAATATCTCTTTCATATTTTATATATTAACAACTTTAATCCTACAATTCATCATTATGTAACAATTGCTTCTTTTTTTTTTTTTTTCCCACTAAAAATGCTAGTGCTTCTTTGCTTTGTCTCTTAATTTGCAACTAATTTGTAGGGGTACAAAATCAAACAACCTTTAAAGCTTGTTCGACTTTAAAGTCTCATTAATTAATCTTTTAGCTTAGTATACATGTTTTTGTTTCCTTAATCTTTAAGTTTGGGATATATTGCATATCCATCTGGATGCCTAATATAATGATGTTTGGGGTAAAACAAAGGATCAAAAAGGGCTTCTGGCCCCTTTTATATATTATTAATTATATGATAAGATATATTAAAATGGATTTGATTAGATTGCCTTCTCTCACTATATGTTATCCTTTTTGGTGATGTTCTGCGGGATATACTGAGTACTTCTAGAGAACTTAGAACTTGATTGAATTTAACTTCTACTTTATTTAGGATTAGGTACATTATTCTTCAGTGCTTAGAGTGTTTCAAAGTTACTGAGAATAATTAGTTCATCTTTTTCCAATAGAATGAAGAAAGGAAGCATACTTTATGGACACCGTAGAATTAAAAAGAAATCCATTTAATTAATAAATTGGTACGTGCGTAATCATCTAGCAATTTAACTACGTACATTACTAATGCGTTATGCGTGTCTCAGTAATAATTTTTTAGTTTTGGTAAAACTTGACATTGACTTACATACGGCACGCGAGCGATTATATTAATACATGAAATGATGATTAATTATAAAATTGTACTAGGAGGCACCCCTTCGGTCAGGCAATAGGCCGAAAGGGGTGCCCGAGCCGACGAAAACACACCACCCCTTCGGCTGGAGGACGGGCCGAACACACCCTCTCGGCCAAAGGAGGTATCCCCCGACTCCCTTATCACTAGAACACCCATCAAAACCTCTCGGTATTAAGCTGGGCCGAACACCTCCTCGGCCTTGACCTGAGCCGAACACCTCTTCGGCCTTGGAGAAGGCCGAACACCCTTTCGGCCTCATGCCTAGCCAAGGACTTCAACAAATCAAACAACACTGCCATCAAGGACGAGTCAAACCCCTCCTCGGCCTTGACCTGGGCCGAACACCTCCTCGGTCTTGACCTAGGCCGAACACCTCCTCGGCATTGTCCTAGGCCGAACACCCTTTCGGCCTCAGGGGAGGCCGAACACCCTTTCGGTCTTACGCCTAGCCGAGGACTTCGATAAAGAGCAGATCACAAACAACACGTGGCAAGTTAGATACTTATTATGCGCTAATTACCATGCCAGATCAAGAGGAGATTAAGGCTAACTCAAGTGTTACCCATCTCCCAAGACTGAAGGCCCACCAGGCCCAATTGTGTCACTATAAATACACGGGTGATGTGATATAAAAAGGTACGTTATTGTCCAATATAAAAGCACTTATTGCTCTATACCGAATACTCACTTGAGCGTTGGAGTGCCTTTGCAGGTACCCTCCCCACCCCGCGGAAATAGTATTCGGTCGGCACCGAAGACTTTGAAGATCAAGAAGGAAGAACGATAAGAGGAGTGTTTCTACGCAGGAACAAAAATCTTTCTCATATTTTATTATTAGATAAATTCGTGTGGCGACTATTAAATAAAATATGGAACTTATATAATACAATCAAACTTACATAAATTTTACTATATTATTAAAAATATATATTAAACAAAGTATTTAGAACTTTAGCTTGATAGGTCAATCTTCCGAATACATCTAATTAATCATACACCACTTATTATAACTGAAAAGTTAACCGTGGGTATCCTCTCAAGAATCTCAAAAACATGACCATTATTAAGAAATTAAGAAAAAATGTCACATAATAAATATCTTAAAATCATACTCATATTAATTTTTAATTGATTAATAATATAATTTTTTATTTAGTCGTCTATAATCATTAATTTCTAACAAATAATCAATTTATCTCTAATAATAAGGTTATAATAATTCACTTATCATTAATAATAAAAGCTAAAAACTTATTTTGGTCCCTTATAATAATTGTTTGTTTCAATTTAGTCTCAATTTTATTTTTGGTCTCAATTTGATCCCTAATAAATTAATTGGTTTCAATGTCGGACTTCCGTCTAAATTATTTAAACGGAGTTAACTGTTGGCCACGTGGATGTCACGTAGATGCATAGGTGGATGCCACGTGGATGCCAAGTTCCTTGAAAACACTTGGAACCAGAACGACCCGTTCTAGAATGCCAGTTAAGGGAAGACAATAAAATATTCTATATTAATTTTATTAAAAAATATAATAATTTTGAAAAATACTTTTTTATGGTAAAAATTTTAAAATTACTTATTTTTATAAAATACAATTGTCTTATAAATAAAGTGATAACTTTTCCTTTTTCTCTTTCGGTCTGAAAAAATATTTAAGTGTCACTTTATAATTTTTTGCAACTTATTTAAAATTAGAGGAATAAAATGATAAAAATTAATAGGATAAACATAATAAAATTATTAATTTATTTTCTTTTAGTGTCCTCTAAATTTTTACACTCATTTAAAACAAAAATATTTTATATGTTATTTTGAATTAATTTAACGAAGTATCATATGATTTTTAATTTTTTAAAAATTTTTATAAATTTGATCTATACATGAAAAACTTTTTAATTTAACAATTAAATTTTTAAAAATTTGATATAGAACATTAATTATTAAGTAGAATAAATCTATCAAGACTTACTCTTGAAGTAAGTAAATTTTTTCTTCATTAAAAATGAAGATAATTTTACCACAAAATAAAAAACAATTAAACAATAAAATAAAATATAAAAAAATATTAATGTATTTATTATATTAGATATAACAACATAATTAAAATATAATTAATAATATATATTTTATAAAATTATTAATATTTTATATAAAAAAAAAGAATGAAAAAAATTTTAGTGGGAGCAAGTGCCCCCACTATGATTAACTTAGATCCGTCCCTGCATGTGGTTGTGTGGTGAAATGTTAGTCTTGTGTATCCTCTTCCTTTACTTCCGGTTCTACCTCTTCAAGAACAAGTTCTTGTTGTTGGGGTACATCGTTAATGACTTCAAAGAAAAATACCATGTCATTTCATCCTTTACTGTATAGTGTCAATTTGGTAGTAGGTGGTTCACTCCAGTTTGACTAACAATGAAATAAAATATGATACCATTGTCTTTAGTGATACACTGCATTGTCCTTAATAATAATACACTATATAGCCCAACTCTTTAGCAATTGAAGTTATCAATTTCCATTGACAATATTATCAAATCTAGTGTTTGAAATGCTTCGTACCAAATCCACGTAGATGCTGATTTTTTTAAAACACCTAGAACCAGAACGGCCCGTTCTGGTTGCACTCTTAGTGTGTTAATTTTGCACTTGGAACAGGCCGTTCCGGATGCAAAATTAACACACCAAGAGTGCACTCAGAACGACCGTTCTAGTTTCAAAACGGGCTGTTCTGGTTCCAGGTATTTTCAAAAAAATTGGCATCCACGTGGCATCCATCTGTGCATCTACGTGGCATCCACGTGGCCAATAGTTAACTCCGTTTAAATAATTTGGACAGAAGTCCGACATTGCAACCAATTAATTTATTAAAGACCAAATTGAGACAAAAAATAAAAGTGGGACTAAATTGAAACAAACAATTATTATAAGGGACTAAAATACTATTTTAGCCAATAATAAAATATAAGAGAGTCTATTTTGTTTGATTGAATAATGTCAGATCAAGTGAGAGGGAATTTATTATGAGAGATGAGGGAGTTAAAATATAACCCTTAGATTAATCAAGTGAGAGAAAATTTGGGGTTTAATAAAGTGAGAGGAAATTAATCTAAGGGTTATATTTTAACCCTCTCATCTCTCATAATAAATTTTTTCTCACTTGATATGCTCCCTATATATATATATATATATAT